AAGCTCAGCCTGTTTGGACATATCTGCAGGATGGAGGACAAGCGACTGGTGAAGTGTGTGGTGTTTGGGATCATGGATGGACGGACACGGAGAGGAAGACCGAGTAGGGAGTGGTTGGATGACATCAAAGAATGGTGTCAGAGGGACATCCACTCTCTTAGCAGGATGGCACAGGACCGTGCACAGTGGAAATGGAGCGTCAGACGGGCATTGGACACCAACGGGCGTGAGCCCATGGAATGATGGATGGATGGATGGATGGATGGATGGGTCAGGGTCCAGCACCTCTGAATTCCGATAACCTCATTTGGCGGATCCCCCTCCTCACACACCATTGAAAGATGTTCGAGTCAGGGTTATTATAGTTTTGCATTTTTAAATTTGTTTTTATTTTAATATCGCTTTCAATTTTCTTTTATTGGTTTCATTAATAATTTTGTTAATTTTAGAAAATAACCATGATTTTTAGAGTATATGTGCATACTATAAAAGCAACTGATGCAAGCTGGTAATCACTTAAGTGGGTCCACTAAATGATTGCACGAATGCTCCATTACCTCTCCATCCTCTGATCACTTGCCGGATCCGTCAACTCGCTTTATTCCGGGACCTCGCAATTTACAAATTAAACACTGTTCGTAGCTTTATAAATGATAAAGGCTAAATATCTAGGCTAACTGGCTAAAAAGACAAAATACGGTTTTGGTCCAAAACCGTGCTTTTTTTTTTGTTGGTTGTACGTGGATGTATTCACCTGTGTCTCCCCGACGTTTTCTCTCACAGTAGGTTATAATCTTACCTTTCAGAGGCGCGTGTCGGGCTTTAAAACTCATCAGACATCACCAGTAGCAAAAGTCATTCATGTCCGGATAGGTTTATTTATTTTGATGACATTTATGGAAGTACATGAGGGTGGTTTGCATGTGATATTGACGCCGCTCAGGTGGGGCACAGTGCGTTAATTTAGAGTTAGAATAACTAAGGGGTGATAACTTGTTGATATGAGTGCAATAATTCCAAAGAATGCCCAATAGATAAATTAAAATCTCTGTCCTTTTTGAGTCTTTGCAACTTTACAGATCTTCTTTATGCACCAAGAGCTTGTAACACTTCAATGAGAAAGGAAAAATTGAAATCGCATCATATGACCCCTTTAATTAAATGTGTCCTGTCATGGTGGAAAAGCAGACTAATGAAGCAATGCTCTATCCCGCTAACAACCCCCAAATAAAAGTTCTCAGGAACTTATTATTTTTATTACATTTACATTTACACTTTTCTGACCTATAGAGACTTTTCTTTGGATCTTCTGAATTAGTAAATCTCTGTTTTAATAATAAAATTACACTTAGAGAAACTTGATGAATAAATTAATGTTGTTTTACACAATGCTCCCTCTGTATGTAAAGCAAAGGTACATATCACGTTGTGAAGAAAATAACTTTCAAGTTTTAAAATATGACAAAACAAGAAGTGATTTTAGCCCAGCGTTTCTGTTTCAGTAGAAACTAAATTTAACCAGCTTATCTCTGCTTGTTTTTTCCACAATATCTCTTGATAATTACTGAATGATATAATTATCTCTTGATATATCTTGATAATTACTAAATACTGAATTCTCTGTGGATAAATAATCACGTATTTTCTGGTATTGCCCAATAAGGGTTGGTGTTAATATATTACCTTCAGGGTTTATTTAACGCACATAAGAAATTCCCCACGCAGATCACACAAAACATGACTCAAGGCCATATCTTGCCACATACAAGACACAGGGCTTGTCTGTCTACAGTCTGCGATCAAAATGCATTCACTGTTAAATAGAGTATCTCTACTAAATACAATCAGTATCCCACGGAAAAATATGAAGTGCTTATTTTATAGTCCCATTCAAACCCACATCCTGTTTAAGATCACAGCTGCTGGGTGTGTGTGCGCGAGAAAGAAGTAGGCTATACAATTTTGGAAGATGTAGGACAGATGAGGTGATTTTAAATAGATTACAATTTGGGCACACAGGACTAAATGCATCACTATACAAAATAGGTAAACATATTACAGGTAAATGTGCTTTTTGTGGGGTAATAGAAACCGTTGAACATGTAAAATTAAAATGTCGGAAATATAATATAGAGAGAATTAAAATGATAAAGAACTTAAAAGGTAATAATAAAGAAAAAAAGAAGATAAATTGGATATTAGGAAAATGATTAAAAAAGGTATTAATCAAAGAATAGTAATGGAATATATAGTAGAAAGAGGATTAAATAAACGAATTTGATAGTTAAATAAATAAATAAATAAAGCAAAGGAATAGGGGAACACACAAGCTGGGTTTTTTGGCATGGGAGCTGAACACGCAGCAGCCAGAAATACAGCTTGGGTGAACCCGAAATAAAATTAACAATAAAATATATTTTTTTTTAAATAAAATAAAATATGAATAGAGGCGGGAATATCATCCATGTATGAATAGAAACAGTTGGTGGCGGTATGTGGCTATGGTGCGGAATACGCCAAAAAATTCCAAAGAAAAAGAAGAAGAAGTGTGTGCGCGAGCCAAACGGCATTTTCATTTTGACCTCAAACCCCTGTTGCACATCTGGGCGGACGCGCATGCGCATCAAAACTAGGTGAACTACCCGAACTTGCAAATAACTTTTCAAACAATTTAGCTGCGCTTTCCAAGTCATCACTCGCAAAAACTGACACCGAGCGGTTTGTTTTAGGGGTGGCGTAAAACGGATAATTGAAGAACCAGATGTATAACGTTGCATATCCTATGTTTCACAGGAAGATGAACTTTTCTGCAACGCTATAAATTGGACAATGTTGCGCCAGACCGGGGGACACAGCGCCGTTGTTTTGAACTTGACATTGCTTTAATGACACTTCATATAAGAAAACGTCATTCAAGTCAGTTTTAGGCCCCCTTTTATGATTTTATACCGCGGATGCAAAACACGTCGTCATGACAAAGGAAACTCTCTGGACCGTGGCAATCACGGCAACGTTTTTCTTCTGTTTATGTTTTTCAACCCTTAAAGCAGAAACCCCTTCTTGTCACGGAGCCTATGACCTTTACTTTGTTTTGGACCGGTAAGTAGGCTACTCGCAAACTTTGATGCTGTTCTGAATTCAAACTTCTCAAGACAAAAAAATAAATCTGTATATCGCACAGAGTTACTGTTTATAATGTTGAATAATGTTTACATCACACCAAGCTTGTGTTTGTAGGTTAAGGTGTGAATAGAGTCAGTACATGTCCGTGCCAGCTATTCCGGATTTTACGTGTGTGCCAGACACTCCTGGCGACCAGGGCCACACAGAAAGACACTTAGCTGAAATAAAGTATTTTTGAGACTTGAGACACAAAGCAGTTTCGTTTGGTGCAGGGAGATTGGTTATCGTAAAAGCAGGGGAGAAACATCTTCTGTTTCTGAAGTCTTGACCATTGTCTGTCTGTCTATCTGTCTGTGTCTCTATCTATCTATCTATCTATCTGTCTGTCTGTCTGTCTGTCTGTCTAACTTTCATATGCATGTGCAATGTTTCATATTAACTTAGATTCCTTTGAGAATCGTTGTTGGCCTCAGTTCAGTCCTCCATCCTGTCTGGAAATATTACAGGATGATGGCACAGATATGCTCTTTCCACTTTTTGAAGAACTTAGAGCAGCACAGAACCAGCCAGGCATCATGACTGGTCAAGACCAGCTTCAAATCAAACTTCCCTTCACAGGTCCAGACCATTTCTCTCATTTGATGTGGTTTGATGTTCTCTGATGCTCCCACTAATGCTTATCTAGATCCTCTGACCTTGGCTTGAGACAAGGAAGAAGACAATGCATAAAAAATGATTTTCTAATCGCTTGTGTTTAATGTTCTCAGCACATGCAGTGGACTATAATTATTAGTTCAATTATCTTGTAGCTACTACACAAAGATTTCTGAAGGATTTCTGTGAGACTGAAGACTGCAGTAATGGCTGCTGAAAATTCAGCTTTTCCATCACAGGAATTTATTGCAATTTATAATATAGTAAAATCAAAACAGTTTTTTAAAATTAAAATATTTCACAATATTTTTCACTTTTATTGTAAATTTTTACTTCTTAATCAAATAAATGTAGCCTAGGTGAGCATAAGAAACACAGTTAGTTTGTCTTTGTCTCATTTGCTATTACGTATACGCCGGACATCCACCACTGACCCGGTAGTTTGATGTTTCGGTGTTGGAGTGATGCAATGGTTTCAGGATTGAGTGGGAACTGAAGTGGTCAGCAGCTATAATGAAGTGTCTTGACTGATATGTTGTTATCATAGCACAAGGTCTGTGCTGAGCCTTTTAAAGACAGAAATCATTTCTCTGAGACCGTGTTAACAATGAAGTGTAACTGACTCAGCAGCTTCTTTGCCACAATGTAATCAACAGCACAACACTTACAATAACCAGATGGGCACATGTGACTTACGGGTTTAAATATAATTGCCTCAAGCTGTTTTTTCTTTAGTGCTGACTTTGTTTTTCATGTGCTTCCTTCCAGATCTGGGAGTGTTTCGACCGACTGGGATCAGATCTATGACTTTGTCAAAAATCTAACAGAGAGATTTGTGAGGTAAATATTCTAGGTTAATGCTACCAGACAAGTCACTTGTACAAATTCTGAATGTACCTCCCAATCTACCACATCAAAGGAAATATCCATCACAACTTAAATCAAAGCTAAATGTTAACTTGGCTAAACGGCAGCTACACATCCGGTTCTGAGATGGCCCTACAGTGGGGGAAAAAAAAAAAAAGCGTATAAAAAAAATATATATACAGTGGGTACGGAAAGTATTCAGACCCCCTTAAATTTTTCACTCTTTGTTATATTGCAGGGCTGCAATATAACAAAGAGTGAAAAATTTAAGGGGGTCTGAATACTTTCCGTACCTACTGTATATTTCCCCAGATGAATGTGAACTTATGTAACGTTGACTCAATGTATGTGTATGT